TTTTTTTTTTTTTTTGACACGGGAGTCTCACTCTGTTGTCCAGGCTGGAGTGCAGTGGCGTGATCTTGGCTCACTGCAACCTCTGCCTCCCGGGCTCAAGCGATTCTCCTACCTCGGCCTCCCGGGTAGCTGGGACTACAGGCAGGTGCCACCACACTCAGCTAATTTTTGTTTTTAGTAGAAATGAGGTTTCACCATATTAGACCGGCTGGTCTCAAACTCCTGACCTCGTGATCTGCCCGCCTCGGCCTCCCAAAGTGTTGGGATTACAAGCATGAGCCACCATGCCCTGGCCATAAAACCTTTTTTTTTTTTTTTTTTTTTGAGACATAGTCTCGCTCTGTCACCCAGGCTGGAGTACAGTGGTGTGATATTGGCTCACTGCAACCTCCACCTCCCAGGTTCAAGCAATTCTCCTGCCTCAGACTTCTGAGTAGCTGGGATTACAGGCATGCACCAACACACCCGGCTAACCTTTGTATTTTTAGTAGAGATGGGGTTTCACCATGTTGGCCAGGCTGGTCTCAAACTCCTGACCTCAAGTGATCCACCCGCCTCGGCCTCCTAAAGTGCTGAGATTAAAGGGATGAGCCACCACACCTGGCCTCTACTATTATCTATTAAATGGAACACACATACATTGTATCCACTCTTTTGTATGAGTGATGCCAACAAAATCACAATAACAAAATACTTGCCCAGAGGATGCCTGGTGTCTGCCTGCAAACTGTCATGAACTCCATTCCCACTAAAAAGACCTCCTCTGCAAGCTCTGAAGCCAAGCAAAGATTCCTGTGTTCTCCTTCCACAGGAAGGGAGGCACAGGCTGGCTTTGGAGTTTTCTTTTCTTTTTTTTTTTTTTTTGAGATAGTCTTGCTCTGTTGTCCAGGCTGGCGTGCAGTGTGTGATCTTGGTTCACTGCAACCTCTGCCTCTTAGATTCAAAGTGCCTGTAACCCCAGCACTTTGGGAGGCCAAGGCAGGTGGATCACCTGAGGTTAGGAGTTCAAGATCAGCCTAGCCAACATGGTGAAACCCCATCTCTACTACAAATACAAAAATTAGCTGGATGTGGTGCCACATGCCTGCAGTCCCAGCTACTCGGGAGGCTGAGGCAAGAGAATTGCTTGAACCTAGGAGACGGAAGCTGCAGTGAGCTGAGATCATACCACTGTACTCCAGGCTGGGTGACAGAGACTCTGTCTCAACCAAAAAAAAAAAAAAAAAAGGCAAATACTGGTTCTGGGTTCTGATAAGAACTACTTCACTTATGATGTATTATATTTCTATTTTAATGCATATTGGTTTATAATTCAGTAAAAAACTAAGCATCTGCCCACATGGATGTTTGTGTATGTGCTGGAGGAAAGTTACCCATTTTCTGGGTTCCTTATTCAGTTTAAATCTCTGGTACCACCCTCCACGCCCTCACCAGAACACAGTCCCCAACTCTCCTGGGTGACCAGCTTGCCTTCTTATACCTCACCTTGGAACATATGGTCCTTCTGTAATGAGTACTTGCTTGAAAGGTTTTTTTGGCTTCATTCATGCGGGCCATGGTGTTCTCTTTCCAGCGACGTAACGGCCCCCTGCAGGTGCACGGGTGCCAGGAGGGCAGATGACACCAGGATGGAGAGAGAAGGGAGGCTTCTGTGAATCATTCCCCCTCTCCCCCTGCTCCTGAGTCAGGGACTCTACGCCTAAGAATGTTTGACAAACACCCATGTTTACATGCATATCTATGTCCAATAAATGGCTACTGAGCAGCTGCTCTGGGCTGGGCACCAAGAGTACATGAGGGACCCAACACTGCTGGAGACCAAACTCCAGGTGCTATGGGGATAACAGGGCGTAATCAGGCAGTGGCAACGCCGGTGACTCACACTGTGATAAGAGAAATGTGGAGAGGCAGGGAACCCAGAGGAAGGTTGCCTATGCCTCAGCTTGCTGCTGAGTTAGCTTGGGGAGTTCCTCTTGCTAATTCTACTCTGTCTGAAGAGCGGGATGGGTGCTCTATGGGATCCCATATGAGGGATGGAAGTTTTTATTTTATTTCTTTATTTTTTAAGAGACAGGATCTCACTCCATCCCCCAGGCTGGAGTGCACTGGCATGATCATGGCTCACTGCAGCCTTGACCTCCAGGGCTCAAGTGACCCTCCCACCTAAACCTCCCAAGTACCTGGAACCACAGACATACCTGACCATGCCTGGCTAATGTTTTTATATTTAGTACAGACAAGGTCTTGCTGCGTTGCCCGGGCTGGTCTCAAACTCCTGGACTCAAACAGCCTCCCAAAGTGTTGGGATTACAGGTGTGAGTGACTGCGCCCAGCTAAGGATGGAGGCGTTTAAAAACCCACTGCCCACAGGCCACCTGGATTATCATGTGCTGAACAAATACAAAGGAAGGAAATGAAAGAGGGGCATGTGGGAAGACTACTGGGAAGGAGTGAGGTTAGAGTCTGGCTTAGAAAAAATGGAGGAAGCTACATAAGCGCACTCCACAGGCGTGAGTGGTGCAGATGGTCCGACAGGGCCTAGAGGTGACTCTGAAGTCAGTGACAGGCCTGCAGAGCAAACGGGAAGGGGATTGCCTGGAAATTAACAGGAAAAGGAGCCACTGCGGCCTCTGGAGTGGAAGAGATGACAAGGCGAATCTCTTGCAAAGCTGAATCTTGCAAAGCTTTGCAAACCCCTGAATCTTGCAGGTGTGAGGCAGGGAGGAAAAAGTGCTAAGAAGAGCAAGACAAGTGGTCTTCAAGGCATGCAGGTGACAGCTGCTTTCCAAGGCCTGCCCTGTACACAGCAGGGGCTTAAGACAAATGGAGGCGAACCCATGAGTGAGGTAGAAAAGCCAAGACCATGATATTAGGTACTAGGGACCTGGGGTCATCCCCTGGCCCTCAGCAGGAACCCCTAAAAGGCTGGGGTTTGGAGTGTGTTCCTCATTCCCCGGCCAGAGCCTGGGAGGTGCCTGGGAGACTCACCGCAGCAGCTGCCTGTTGTGCTGGCTCTCCTTGGCTGCCACCTCCTGGAGGATGCTCCGCACCCTGCCCTGGTAAGTCTGTGGGGGACAAGGGGGACTGGAGGCTGCCCCTGGGTCCACACTTCTCCCTGTTTATGCAGGTCTCAGAGGTAACTCCAGCACAAGGCTGCCATGCCCAGAGCACTCAAAAAGGGCAGGGAGAGGCCAACAGCCCTTAGTCCCAGGGCCAGCAGACCCTCTCAGACGACAGGGAGAAGACTGTCCCACAGGCCCTCACCTCCTAAGTCAAACCACAGGACTGCTGGACAAGGAGCTGCTTTCCCCTCAAGGCTGGGGCCCACCAACAGCATTTGTTTCCATTTGGCCAAGCAAGAATCGAAGAACCTAAGGCCTAAGGCCCCAGGCCTCGCTAAGGCACTTGCTTGGTTTCAGGTTTGTCACATCACTCTGTTGTGGGAGGGACAGGAAGAACAAGGAAGGGAAACAAAGTCTCCAGAAACCTCCCCTGTCCCCACAGCAAGGATCAGGAGGGAAGCAGCAGCTCCTACCACCCACGCGTGCAGCGCCCTGAGCAGCACTGTGCGCTGGTGGTGCAACTCCGCTCGCATCAGCTTCTGCCGCTCCGCTCCCTGCAGGGCCAGGCACTGCAGACAGAGAAGAAAGCAGCTACTGTGGGCTGGGGGCCCAGCTGGGGGTGGCTTCCTGCTTTGCCTCCATTTTACACTTCATCTGTGTGAGTGTAAATTACTTAACCCCTCTGGCCTCATCTATAAATACGCACTTCTTAGGGGTTCTGAGGACTGGATGAGGCAAGTGCTTGATTTGTGGTAAATGCTCAATTAATGTGAGTTTAAACATTTTTTAGTCTCAGCAGGACTCCTGTAAATAGTTAGATCAGGAATTTTAGATGCAGTAAGTTCAAACAAGAACAGACTGGTATCTGAAAGAACACATTTTGAGCCAATCATCTCATAAAACTGAGTTAACACTTCATCTGCTGCCTGTTCTCTTCCTTCAGCTCAGAGGTAGGTGGTTTGGCCCACAAGTCGGCTGTGAGCCCTGCTGACACACAGCCCACATGTTCAAAAGCCATACCTGGGTGGCGCCCGCACCAACGCCTTACCTCCCTCCACTGGCTCCAGGCCCAACGCAGGAGCTGGGCCGTGTTGAATTCTGCTGCCTGCACCTGGCCTGTCCTCCTATGGAGAGATGGCAGAGCTCAATGCTGCTGCCCCTACCCAGCGAGGGCACCCTCTGTGGGCTCCTCCTCACAGTCCGTGGCCCCAACCTGGTTAAGTTTTTGGGGGAGCCAAGACCCTCTCTGAAGAGCTGCCAAAGAACTTACACTCTCAGAAAAAAGCACATCTCATCACATTTGGCCTACAACTTCCCAGGGCTTCAAGTGCCATTTAAGCTCACATGTGCAGGTGTGAAGCTCCCACCTGAGGAGGTGGTTAAATGTGGCCAAAGTTTGACAAGGAGTGAAACCCTCAGAACACATAGTGAATACTGAAAGGCCCCAAAGCAGGACAGTCTCTGCAGTAGACACATGGACTGCCTACCTTTCTCTCTCTAACTACGTGGTGTGGTTAAAAACTGCTACAACCCACCCACTGGCCAGCTGCTGGTCCCTATCCCGTATCTGCAGCAGTCAGCTATCACAACATGGGCCCATCAGTTTATTCCCTGGCTATAGCCACTTTTGTTTGTTTGAGGCAGAGTCTCGCTCTGTTGCCCAGGCTGGTGGGCAGTGGTGTGATCTCAGCTCACTGTAACCTCCAACTCCTGGGTTCAAGCAAATGTTCATGCCTCAGCCTCCTGAGTAACTGGGATTACAGCCTTGCGCCACCACGCCTGGCTAATTTTTGTATTTTTAATAGGGCCGGGGTTTTGTCATGTTGGCCAGGTTGGTCTTGAACTCATGAGCTCAAGTGATCCACCTGCCTCAGCCTCCCAACCTGGCTATGGTCACTTCGAATGGGCCCCAAGTGTAAGCAGGCTGTGGCCAATGAGCAGAACCACCCAGATCCACTGAGCACTTCCGTACCCAGCCAAATTCCTGAGGCTGCAGGCTCCATGAGGTACCCCAAGATCCTGCTGTTCCAACCTAGTTTTACTTAGACTCTTCTAGGTTGAATTTCTAGAGCTTACAACCAGAGTCTGGGATAATGTAATCCTCCAGACAGGCACTGGGAGCTGATGGTGCTGCTACTACAATCAAAGCTGACCTGGGGTGGAAAGGCTTTTCAGGCAGAACCGGCCACTCACTCTGTTCTGAGCCCTTGGGCACTTTCCCTCCAGAGGCAGAAAGCCTTCCTGAGCCGCCTGTGGCGGTGGTGGGCACGGGCCACTGTTTGCCACTCCTGCTCCTGGTGACGTGCTGCTGCCTGCTGGTGCCACGTGAACCAGGACCTATGCAGAAGCTGTCGCTCTGCGTGAAGGATGGCCTGAGGCAGGACAGGAAGGAGAGAACAGAATAAGTCAAGTAGGAGAGAGGCACAGAAGCCAGGAAAGAATTTATAGGCCACAGATAATGACCAAGGCAAAAGGAATGGACATCAGGATGTGGTCCAATCCAGAAGCTGTCCACAAGCTCCACTGAGAAAGGACAGATGCCCCAGAGCCTGCCTGGCCTCATGAGTCACAGGCAGAAGCCCTCCAGTGAGGCCGAACGACTTCCTGAGGAGTGGAGGCCATGAGTGCAATGGCTAGAATTAGGTCCTGCCCCTCCAGGAATCTCCACAGGGACAGCCATTTACCATTCTCTCTGCCAAGCGGTTTTCTCGATGCTGTAACATCTTCTGCCACCAGATAGAAAATACTTGCTTCTCTACTTTCTCCCTAAAAAAACAAGGAAAAATGTAAAGCGCTTAAAACAAAAACAGAAATTAACCCAAACAGAACTACAAGTTCCAAATAATTGGATTTTTCCTTTTATACCATGCTATTGTGTAAGAGGTGAGTTAGGTGGTGGCCTGTAATCCTAATACTTTGGGAGGTCCAGGCCGGAGGACTGCTGGAAACTAAGAGTTCAAGACCAGCCTGGGCAACATAACAAGGCTCTCTACAAAAAAATTTAAATTGCTGGGTGTGGTAGTGTGTGCCTGTAGTCCCAACTACCTGGGAGACCGAGGTGGGAGGATCGCCTGAGCCCAGGAGTTTGAGGCCATGATGAGCTATCGTTATGCCACTCCACTCCAGCCTGGGCAACAGAGTGACACCCTGTCACTGAAAAAAAGAAAAGAGGTGAATAAGCTGAGATGAGGGAGAAAGCAACACAGCGAAAAAGGGAAGAAGAGCAGACAGCCAAAAAACATAACTTTTAAAAGGCCAACATTTTCCAAGTTTTTCTGGTATCAGCCAAGCATTCACACCATACAAAAAAGACTCTAACCCTGAGACCCCAGGTCTTCATTAATTCCACATTGACTTAAAAAAAACCACTGATTAAGGATCATTCATGAGAGTCTTTTCCAGGCATACTGACCAGCCAAGTTGCTTCTACACCAATCCTTTGAGGAACTGTTGAAAAACAAGGGCAAGACCCCTAAAGCTGACTGAGCAGGTCTGAGGTGGGGGTCTCAGGAAACAGCATTTTAAACAAGTGTTCCAGGTGAATTAGAAAAGCAGAAAGGAGGCCGGGCGTGGTAGCTCATGCCTGTAATCCAAGCACTTTGGAGGCCAAGGCGGGTGGATCACCTGAGGTCGGGAGTTCAAGACCAGCCTGACCAACACGGTGAAACCCTATCTTAAATAAATAAATAAAGCAGAAAAAAAAGGAAGAGAGAAACAAAAAACAGATGTAGACATGAGCCCAACCATATCAGCAATTACGATAAATATAAATGAACTAATCAATTCAATGAGAGAATAAAAAGTTTTTTCAACAAATGGTGCTGGAAAAACCTGATAAACATATAGAAAAAAAATAAACCCTAGCCGGGCGCGGTGGCTCAAGCCTGTAATCCCAGCACTGTGGGAGGCCGAGGCGGGTGGATCACGAGGTCAAGAGATCGAGACCATCCTGGTCAACATGGTGAAACCCCGTCTCTACTAAAAATACAAAAAATTAGCTGGGCATGGTGGCGCTTGCCTGTAATCCCAGCGACTCAGGAGGCTGGGGCAGGAGAATTGCCTGAACCCGGGAGGTGAGGGTGCGGTGAGCCGAGATCGCGCCATTGCACTCCAGCCTGGGTAACAAGAGCGAAACTCCGTCTCAAAAAAAAAAATAAAAAAAATAAACCTTGACTCCTACGTCATACCATATGTAGAAAAACACTGCTCATTAAAAAAAATGGGGGGGGGAGGGTGCAGGGCTGGAAAAAATATATATATTCAGTATATTCGGCCAGGTGCGGTGGCTCATGCCTGTAATCCTAGCACTTTGGGAGGCCAAGGTGTGTGGATCACCTGAGGTCAGGAACTCAAGACCAGCCTGGTCAACATGGTGAAAACCACATCTCTACTAAAAATACAAAAAATCAGTAGGGCATGGTGGTGGGTGCCTGTAATCCCAGCTACTCAGGAGGCTGAGGCAGAAGAATCACCGGAACCCAGGAGGTGGAGGTTGCAGTGAGCTGAGATTGCGACACTGCACTCCAGCCTGGCGACAGAGCAAGACTCTGTCTCAAAAAAAAAAAAAAAAAATAAATAAAAAGAAAAAAGGAAAAAAAAAAAGCAAAATTAGGCTACAATGACTGAAATCAGAACACTGGTTACCTATACAGGGTAGAGATTGACTGGAGGGGACATGAAGGAACTTTCTGGGGTGATAGAAATGTTCTACATCTTGATTGCAATGTTGATTATACAGGTGCATAAATTATGAAAACTCAACAAACTTTAACATCTATTCGTTTCACTGTATATACATTTTATCTCAAATTAATGACAAACCAATCCTGTCTCATTCTTAGTACCTTACACTGGAGAGTTATAAAATTATTTTTATCATAATTAATGGGATTCCATCATAAAATCTGCCTATATTACTAAAACATTTTTTAAAACCCTAAGACTATTGAAGACATATATTTAGTTGGAAGTTTAATTTGCTAAACTCCGTACCAATCCTCTGAATATGTACTTATCATGAGACTCACAGATCAACTCCAGGGACTGAGGGATAGTTAATATTCTGTGCTAGGCCCTTGGCTTGTGTTTTACATATATTATCCCATTTCATTTTCATGACAACCATATGAGTTAGAGACTATGACCAAATCATCTCAATTTTACATTCAAGGAGACTGAGGCTCAGAGAGACAGGACTGACTTGTCCAGGGTCACAGAGCTGGCAGGTGGCAGGGCATAGGTCTGAACTCAGGCCTGTCCAGCTTCTAAGCCAGACTCTCAATCATTCTGCTCATGAACAAGGAAAATAGGAATCTGAAAACCCAAGTTTTCTAAAAAGGTCCAACCAAACTAAAACAGGACAAAATCTAGATCAAGCCTATACCACCCTGCAAGCCTCCTGGCTATACCCTGTCTCCAACTCACCCTCCACCCTTTTTCTCTAGAGTGATAGATAGCTCTAAAATCACCCAAAACTGCTCCCCTGGCAAAAATCCTTTAAAGACTCCTCTTGGCTATTTTGAAGGTACTTTTAATTTTTGGTCCTCACATAATGTAGAATACAAAAAAGAAATAGAACCAAGCATGGCTACATATTAGCAGAAGAACAAAGAGGTACTGTGTGTGTGTTTTAAGTACTGAAGCCACTTTTTTTTTTTTTTTTTTTTT